AAGAGCAACCCAGAATGACCTGACTGCCCAATATGCATCATGCTGGCAAAGAAACATGAGGCAACCCAGGAATTTGAAGTAAATAAGGACTCAGCTACAGAAAATGGAGTAGAAGAGATGTTTGACATGCAGTTTGGATTGGTTATTCAAAAACATAATATGGTGCAGTCCACATAAATTATCTGTCTGGGAAAACTCTTCCCCTTTTTCAAACGGTAGGGTTGAAATATTCTAAGACAAAGGGATGCTGATGCATGTGAGGACCATGCATTCGAATTTCAGTAGAGCAGCATAAATTTTAGTTACACTTTAATTATTTAATTTAAGTGTTTAAAGTTTGTTGTCCAAGGACATAAGCTCCTTAAAACCAGATATACAGATGAAGTCCTCTAAACTATTTTATTTAGAAAAAGCAATGCACTGGTATCCAATTTTCAGCTTTGGGTTTCAGTTTGTAATAAAAATTTCAGTTATCCTGTGTCTACCCTTGTCCAAGGAAAGGAGGTGTCCCACTGGGCTTCTACCCTAACACTGATCCTCTTGGGAGAGGAAGGCTGAAGTGTGAGTTTATGATGAATTCAAGCCTCTGAATTGATGGTGAGATTTCTCCTCCCTGTTTCCAATGTGCAGCTTTGCATTTGTGCACTCCCTCCACTGCTCTGTCTGGAAGTGTGTGGGATCTGTGTTGTCCTGTCACAGAAAAGCACAGGGAAATTCTATTCTCATTTCTCATTCTCACTTTCTCCAGGTCTCAGAGAGAATGTCCTTTTCCACTTCCTTCTCTTTGTGCAGCTCAGGCCATATTTACCAACATTAAATAACAATACCTCTCCCTATCTCAAGCTTGTTCACTGTGTAACATCATCCAGAACCAAACAAACTGCAGCATTTCCTAAAACATGAATTGTTTTTTAAAAATTCAGGCTGGCCAGCTGTTTGGAGCCTCCCAGCTAGGAATGCTGCCTCCAGAACCCCCACTTGATGATGCTCTGGCACGGACTCTGTGTCCATCTGTCTGCGTGGCGTGTCGCCAGCTCTTAAGTTGGCCCGATCTTTATCCAGGGTACCAAAGCAAGGCGGATTTGGACTGACAGCCTCAGTAACTGTAAGTGTCACTTCTTCTGCTCCAAGTCCCTCTGCAGTGACAGCATTGCCTTCCTTGCTAGACTGTGATCTCAGGTTTGGTATCTCACTCCCGTTGGCCTTTCGGCTCTGTTTCAGAGAATGACAGAGGGATGTTGATGCAGAGCCATTGAGATACTAGTGAACATAAAACAATAAATACTGAATTTTTATATACATCATTTTTATGTACATAAATGTGTTCCTTCCACTTTGGAGTTACATAGTTGAGGTACATTAATGTGTAACAAAGGTAATTGTTGTATAGTTTGAAAACTCAGTCACAAAACTCCCCTTGGTCTTATTCTGATAAGACTTGCTCTAAACGTAATTTTGCTAAACCTGGTTTAAAAGAAGCAGGTTAGGACCCAAATTTGCAAATGTCATTTGAGTAGTACTGTGCTCCGAGGAACTCCCACCAAAATAAATTAATTTCTGCTAGAGACATTATCCATTGCAGTTCTGGGGACTGGGATAAAGTTCTGAGTGCAGAGAATGTGGGTTTGCAGTATTTTTCTTGCTTTTACATAGTTTCATATGTGAGTGATTTTGCTGGACATGCTTTCTGACCCCACCCTGCAAAAGGCTTCCTCTCAGGGTCATCACAATTAATAATTACTTCTAAAATCCCTGGTTCAGAAGCAGGCTATTTCCTTCATAAATTCCTCTTAATTTCAGTGTGCATATTTGCTCTACAACCATCACTAGGCAACAAAGCATTGCTTTATTTTTTTTCTGAGATATGAGTAGTTTATGTTCTGGATTGAGGACAGCAAGAGCCAGATTGCCACTGTAAACGTAATTTACCTCTCAGACAATTTTTATAGAGTGAAACATAAAAGTTTGAATCTTTAATTTGGAAATAATGATTTACACTCTTGTTTTCAATGATGACCTCATTTATGCAGAGCTGTTTGTATCTGAGTGGTGGGATCTTAGATTTTCTATTAATTAGCATTATAAATGAACATTTCCATTTAGAGCTGTCCTAGTTTTTCTCACAGGTGATGAGAAAGGGGCACAGTCTGGAGCTCCAAGTCAAACTGAATTGCTTCTGCAACCAGCAAAAGCAAAGACTTCAATCTGCTGGCTCAGCCCTGGGTGAAAGAGAGAAGAGTTCTGCTGAATTAAACAATTAAGTCAAACACTTTGCTAACTTTGTTGCAATGCTCAGTTTTCATCTGGTTCACCCCACCACATGGGGGTGTATTTTCATGCACAGATCTGACAGCTTTGACAGTTCAGTGTTCCTGCAATAGGGCTGATGGGTTACTGTGATGTCTGTGATGCCAGGCATGTCTGCACCACACAGGGCAGAAAAAAGATCCCTGTGCTGGAGCAACTCCAGGCTTTGGAAATATCTACCATTTTGTCTTTGTCTCAGTGGCTACATGGAATTGCATTGAGGTAATGGAGCACCCTTTGTGTGTAAATCACTCTTGTACACTCTTTTTTAAAATATTGTTGCTGTTACTGTTTGTTTCTCATCCCATTGCTATTGGTTGTCAATAAATTATCTCAACCCAGTTTCTGCCTTTGTCTCTTTGTCGCCAGAGGGAAACAGGGGAAGGGGAGCGTCTTATTTGGAGCTTAAGTTAAAATCTTTAAAAGACAAAAGCGCCCTGTGCAAAGGAAACAGTAAGATGAGATCGACACAGATACTTCCATGGGAAAATTGCTCTAAGGCAAAGCTTGCATCACTTCTATGATGCACCACAGCTCCTCCATTTCACAGCTTCCATGACAGCGAGCAGAGGCATCAGGGCTGGTTAAAGGAAGGTTTGTTGGGCACCACACAGGCAGGCAGACAGATGCAAGGTCCTCCTGCTGCCCTCTGCTCTCCAACCTGTGCCGGAGCAGCAGCGGCGGCTGGGCCAGCACTGGCTCCCCCTGAGGAGCCAGGGACAAGGGCAGGGCTCATTCCCAAGCACCATCACTTATTGTGGCAAACCTAAACATCTGCAGCAGCTCTGCAAGCTCACTGTACTCCCATCTGTGGGGAGAAGGCTGTGAAAGTGGGATCACTTCAACACTCCAGGAAATTTCTGAATCATGTACTGGAACTCTTCCCATGCTCAACAGAAAGTTCTTTAAAAAGTACTGATGGTGGGTTGTACTTTCTATATAGGGACAGGATTATAATTAGACATGGATAACTATTTTCAAATTTCCCTATTTTAATTCATTCCATTTTTATGAGGGTTTTTTTTGAGCTTGTTTGTGTGTTCTGTTGTATTGTTAACATAGGACCTCACAGAGATTCTTCATCAAACTAAGCTTAAAGAGAAAACACATGCACAGCATAGAGCATTTTCTCTACTGTTTCTGCAGAGAAACAACACAAAATCTGCAGCAGCACAGAGCCATCCTGAACTACCCTTGTACTCACGCTGGCATTCAGTCTCTGTCAGCCTTCTTCAGGGCAGTAATAACAATATAATGGGACCAAGAGACAAAACTGTTAAATTCTTTCCAAGACAATCTTCCAGGCTCATCAGCATAGACAATCATTCCTTTTACTTCTGGAGTAATAGGAAGATTTTAAGCAATATCTTTTGATTTGAGTTGGACTTGAAAAATGACATAGCTGGGGGCCTTATTTGAAAATGCAATGAGACTGAGATGTAAAGTGCAATTTCCCATGCAGTCTGCGGGGAGAATGAGGCACTTGTCCCAGTTCTCTTAATTGTCTCTGATTGCTGTTTGTGTAGCACAGTCACTTCCTCGTCTTCGAAATCACCTTCAAGGGCTCCAACATTTTTCACTTCACTGTTTTAAATCAAGAAGGGCTAAACACCCACCCATTCAACCATTATGGCTCTTTTATGTTATTTATGTGGTTTATGCTATTAGGCTTTAAAATTTAGTTTATTTAATGGGCCTTAACAAGTACTTAAGTAACAGGTTTGAGGACACATCAGTGAGGCTTGGCACATGTTGATTAAGGTGTGCTTAACCTGACAGTTAATATTTTGTACCATTTTCCTAGCAGCCGTGACTGTTATAGAAGAAGTGCTAATTTTCCAAAAATGGTTAGAGCTTGATTATTATGTTGGTTCTTTATTCACATAGCTTCATTATTTTGTTGGCACAGCTCTGTGAGAGATGAAGTAGTGCTATTATTTCTACTCCCAGCTCCTTTCAATCTTTTGCAATCATTTAGGCACACGTGTGACATTACTCAGATAAGCAATTGTGTTTGCCTTCAGTGAGAGTGGACAGCAAAAAGAAGTCCATAAAATGAGCTGGTCAGCTTCAGGAGTGACCACAGGATTTTTCTGGCATATACCTGGGGAGGCAAACAAGAAACTGTAAAAATCATGGTCATATGTCCCACTAAACCTTCCTTGTCTACATAAAGAGCTTTCACTCACAAGGGATGTTCTGTCAGCTGGAAGCCTCCAAAGCCTCACTCATTTTTTGGGAAGCCCAAAGGAGCCTAGTTTTACTTGGAAGGAGGGAAAGGTTAGGTATTTGAAATAAGTGGAAACAAGAGAGGTCACTTTGTCCTCTAAAACTAGAAAATATGTTTCTGTCTGTGGCTAGAATATTTGAAGCTGGTACTCCCAAGTTATCCGACACAGCTGAAGTCCAACTTAGCTTTTTACATCAAATTATTCATGAAAGTCAGCAGGAGGTGGAGATAAACTATTCATTCTGTGCATATCTATGTGAAAGGAGCTCTCAGGAGAGATCCTCAAGATCCTGCCAAGAAAACAAGTGAAAACATTTTAAGAATGGGAGGGAGCATTCATAATTGAAATCACCAACAGCATATTTTGATTAGTTAATTCTACCAGAATAAAGATGCCACCTTTCCTTAGATGAGGGGGTGGCACAGAGTAGAGCAGAGAGTATGAGGGCAGGAGGAAATGTGATTGTCACCCCAACGTATTCTGCCAGCCTGATTTTAAACAGCATGGGACCTGTGTGACCCTGATGCTCCAGACATCCTGTCCTGACCAGAGCACCCAGGCACACCTGACACCTCTCTCCTTCATTTCTTCCTTGTTCTCAAGATAATACAACAATGTCATGTGGAGATGTCCCTAAACCAACACCTCCTACCACCTCACACACCTAACAGCACAGTGAAAGGCAAGACTGCAGACAGAAGGCAGCTCCCTTTTGCCCCTCTTGCTGGAGAAATAAAAAGGGGAAATAATTATTTAATGCTGTCTTACTTTTCCATGGCTTTTTGTTGTTAAAATTTCAATTGCCACAGCAATCCTGTCCAGTTCTCGATCTGATTGTGCTGCTCACAGTTCCTGCTGACAACAACAGGGGGAGAAACCACAGATGGACAGAGACCAACAGACCAAACAGAAAGAAATAATAAAACAAGACAGGTTAGCCTGTGCTTGTGGGGATTCAGAACACCTAACTTTCACCTTAGAGAAAATAAAACTCCATTAATATTAAAGACAGTGCCAGTTTTAGACCATTTAAACTAAGGTTTTCTTTCCCCACAAAAAGAAAGTAAATGCCACATAAAATGTGAATTTTCTTCAAAACCCCTAGTCTAGCAAATGGGAAAGGAAATAAACGATGCTTTAAAAATAAAAGCTTTTGATTTAACTCCAGTATTTAAAATAAAGAGTTTTAATTGCTCTTCATTCTTTAATAAGATGTTTAGAGGTTTCTTAGTGGCATTTGTGACAATGGGAATAATTCAGGGTTAAATTGGCAGAAACCCCAAACCACATTTAGCTGTTTCCTATTGTAACAGTGAACAAAGGTTTTATTAACATCTTACCCCTTGTTGGGCCCAAAAGTCCCTTTTCAACACAACCACAGCCTTGAGTCTTCAATTTGCAGCTCTGTGGAGAGTATTTATGCCTTCAGATCCAGCATGTTGTTCAGCATCTGTTTACATTTATCCCCATCAAAAGTTATCTACGAGTGGCAGAGATGTTTAGAAAAAGAGTATTTTTAATAAATCAGCACCATAGTGTGCTCATCTTTCAAACTGTATGTCCTTGCCCCAAACACTCAGCATCAACTCTACCCCAAACCAAAACCTATTAATTCACTACCTTTTCAAGACCCAGTGTTCTGCCAGTCCTTGCTCCTTGATGAATTTGAGATGAAGCTTTCTTGGAAGGGCAATCTGCTGTCACCTGGAAAAAGATATTTCAAGACCACTCATCTAATAGTCACATTTAAAGAGAAACCAACAATTTGTAGTCTTTCTCAGTGAGGTGGTGATGACATCCAAGGCATTTGGCTTCCTCCAGCCTGGAGAGAGACCACACCTCACTCACAGACCTCCCTCACAAGCACAATTCCCTCTGTTTGACTTGAGCCCTAAGGTCAGCCTTCCTCATGCGTCAAATTTCCTAATCCACTTTAATATCCAAACACATCAGCATTTCCTGATGCATTTTGTGCTTTGCCTCAAGGGCACCAAGAGCACGTTGTGGGAAATGCATTCCCATCCTTCATGGAAACAGTCTTTAACCTTGTATGATCTGCTGGTTCATGCTCCAGGGAAATGCACCTTTGTGGCCTCAGGGCACTACAAAGAAGCATCCCCTGTGCTTTTTGTGCCCTTTCAAGTGCTGGATCTCATGGAAAAGATGGAAACAGAGAGATTAGTGTGCTTTTATAAATGGGAATAAAAAACTACAGTGATTTTGCATGGATTTATAACACCTTTAACTTGTTTTTTTTCACAGCAAACAGCAATCCCTAAGCTTCTTTACCAGCATCTGTGTTTCCAGTTCGTGCTGCATCTTCAGCTGCAAAAAAGGGAAATAAATAAAAGGGGCTGCTCTCCTGCCTCGAGAGGGCACTACGAGACAGCTGAAAAAAGGGAATGGAAGCAAACAAGCTTTACCTCAGGCACCAAATATTCCCGTCATGAGGATGTTCTATTACAGTAATTAGCAATAATCACATAAGCAACAGGAGCTTCCCTTACCTCCCTTCACCCCTTGGAAGAATGGAGTCTGCTTCATTAAAACCTCTGCTTCCTGCCTAATCCCAGGGACCCGTTCAGGGGCGCTTCCTTCGGAGACCGGGGGACCTGGATTCACCAGCGAGGTTTCCCAGCGCTGCTGCCAAGATGCAGGGACAATGTGTGAACTGAAGAAGGAAAAAAAAACATATTGTAGTGACTCATCCAACTCCGAAATGGAAGTTTTAAAAGGGGGGGGAAGTGTGAAACATTAAAAGGGCCTATTAAACACTGTGTGACTATAGCTACGCTTTCTGAAACGACTCTGACCTACTTATAAGAGATGAGCTCTGTCCATGAAGCAGGATTTGGGTATTTTTAATAAATAATTATGTTTTCCCTCCTGCTACCTGGTATCTAACCAACTTAGTCAGACAGCTGATTTTCAGGGGGAAAGCTGAAGTTTGGCAGATTTACAGAAGATCAAAAGAAATCACATGTCTTGAAAGAAAACATTTTTTTTACTATTTTAGCCTGGATGCATCTCAGTCCATTATCTTAAACTCAAGGCCACTCTTCCACCCTTCAAACTGAAGCCTTCTGAAGGGAAGGCATGGGGAACTGGACTTGCAGGGAATGCAGAGAGCAAGGCAGCCCCAGGCAAGGCACTGGGCTCTGTCCTGCCATGCAAGGCATGGAGCTGAGGGATTAAAATATGCTGCTTTGATTTTCATGAACCCAAAGAGATTCATAGGACCATGCCATGACCTTTTCCAACAGTCAAGTTAGCAGTGAGCAGATTAATTGTAAATATCATAAATTAATTTTAGCAATATTTCTACTTCCTTTCTCTGCTGCACGTCCTTTATAATGTTATTTCAGCCCCACAACTTTTCGAAAACTTTTGGTACTATTTATAAATTTGCAGTATAAAACCTGAAAGAAAACAAACATTTCAAACCAGAGAATTAAAATTAATAAAGAAAACTATATTAATGTTAAAAATTACTCAGTGAGTTTGGGTAAAGGAAAGGTAGGGAGAGGATTCTGAATGTGCTTAAATTTCTCAGTGTGGATGAAAGAACAGGCCTGGATTTTCCTGATCTCCAAATGCTTGAAAATACAGGCAGCACAAAAGCATCACCCTTTCTGATTTTCCATAAAACCAGGATTGTGCTCTCAATCTCCTTAGTGCATTGTCTGAGCCATCCACTATAGACAGGAAAGTTTGGATTCAAGATAAACAAAGTAACAAATTTCACAGATGGGTGTAAATCCATGTCATGAATCAATGACTGCCCCATGTGAACGGCAAAAGCAAAGCTAAAAAACAGGAATTCTCAGACAGTTCTTTAGGTCCTTCTACCCCAAAATAACATGCACCATGATAAAGGCAAAGAATCAGGGCATACTCAGGACATTTGGCAATTCTAGTCAGTGACATTTCACAACCAGCATTTTGCTGTATCCTCTGTACTCAAGAAACCAGATGGACACTCTGCATCTCACCATTGGTAAGCTGAAGGCAGAGACAGTGAGGTCTTGTTATTGGAAAGACAAATAATACAGAAAAAAGTAATATACAAAGGAAACTATGAATTTCAGTCACATAAATATACAGAAAATAAGTGGTCCATTCATAACTAAGAGGATTCCATTTACACATGTTTATTTTGGGCATTGCCATCATTTAAACATAAATGCTACAAATACAATATTTTAGGACTCAAATTACAACACAGAATTAGCAGTTTCTTATTTTAGTATAGATTTACAAAGGTAATCCTTCTATGGATTGGTTTTGTCCTCTTTTCAGAGTACTGACCTCTTCCAGAGCTCAGGATGATGAAGTCTTACAAATGTGAGGGCCATGAAGTAAAACTTGATGTGTGGGTTTTGTGGGGACCTCGGATACTTCAATCTCCATCCCTCCAGCTCTGTCCCAAGCATTTATTTATAAATACTTCCAAGTGGCAAACAGCAATATCATCAAAGTCAACTCAAAGAATTGCAGTCACAGAACCAAATAATAGTTTAGGTTGGATGGGGCCTCTGGAAATCATCAAAGTCCAACCCCTCTGCTGAGGCAGGTCCAACTGGAGCAGGTGATACAGGAATGCATCCAAGTGGGTTTGGAATGTCTCCAGAGAGGGAGAATCCATGATCTTCCTGGGCAGCTTGTTCCACTACTCTGTCACCCTCAATGTAAAGAAGTTCTTTCTCACAGTGAGATGAACACTTTTGTGTTTTAGTTTATGGCCACTGCTCCTCATCCTGTTGCCAGGCATTACCAAAAAGAATTTGGTACCATCCTCTTGGCATCCTCTTGACATATTTGTAGGCATTGATGAGATCCCCTCTTCTTCTCCTCCCTGGGCTAAACAGGTACAGCTCCCTCCTCTCTCCCCATAAGAGAGATGCTCTAGACTCCTGATCATCTTTGTGGCCTCCACTGGACCCTCTCCAGTAGCTCCTTGTCCTGCACCCAGATATTAAAACACCCAAGTACCGGTACAGGATGAGGCCAACATCTTGGAAAAGAGCTTTGCAGGAAAGGCTCTGGGGGTCCTGGCAGACAACAAGCTGACCATGAACCAACAAGGTGACCACTCGGCAGACAGGGCCAACAGCCTCCAGGGAAGAATTTGGGAAAGTACCTCCAGCAGGTCAAGGGAAGTGATCCTTCTCTCTTCAGCAGCAGTGGCTGAGATCACATCTGCAGTGCTGGGTCCAGTCCTGGGCTTTCCAGTACAGAAGAGATGTGGACATACTGGAATGAGTCCAACAAAGGGCCATGATGATGATGAAGGGACTGGGAATCTGTTATATAAGGAGAGACTGAAGGAGCTGGGTCTGGAGAAGGTCAGAGAATTACATCAATGCACATAAACCCATGATGTGAAGGAATAAGAAAACAGAGATCAACTCTTCCCTGTGGTACCCAGTGAGAAGACAAGAGGTAATGCAGTGGACATGCAGTGCAGTAGAGGAAACTCCATTTAAATATGAGAAGTTTATACTGGGAAGGAAATCAAACACTGGAAAAGGTTGCTCAGAGTTGTTTTGGAGTCTCCATTCTTGGAGATACTGAAAATCTGAGAGGACACAGCCCTGAGAAACCTGCTGTAAATTGACTCTGCTCTGAGCAGAAGGGCTAGGGGCTAGACAACCTCCAAAGGTCTCTTCCAACCTCAACACGTCTGTGATTCTGTGACTGCTGAGCCAGTTTTTTTTCCAAGTTACTGATGTGTTTGGAAACAGGAAGAGCCACAAGCTGTATCAACAAACTTTTGTGACTGGAAAAGCTGAATTAATTGCTAGAATCACATCAGTCAGCTGGAGAGGACGCGAGTTTCTGTTCAATGGGCTGCCAATGTAAACATTATTGTTGCAGAATCTGAGCTCTAGCCGAGGGCTGGGTGCCAGATTTCTCGATGTGCCTCAAGAACATCGACTTCGTTAGCCACAGTAGTAGCACCCTGATAAGAGCTGCAGTAGGAAGGGCTGGCTGAAACTGGGATTGAGCCTGTGCCACTGGATTTGCTGCACCAAAAGGGGTACAGATGTCTAAGCCCAGCCAGAAAATCACCCCATGACAAACAAGTGCCACATATAGGAAAGAACTATGGAGATGGCTCCAGAGCAGCCAACAGAGGCCTGGTAGACCTGGCCTTCTCACACTCTGGGGAAAACAGTCAGCAGACCCCAGATCCCACTGTTCATTTTCAGTCTGTTACCCAGCCCCTGGCAGAGAAGTATTTCATGAACATTCATTTCAGCAGAAATATTGTGCTTTTCCATGGCTGTGGGTAGAGTGGGAGTAATGGGCAGGCACCAGAGCAGGCAAAGGTAAAGGATAAGCATGACTGAACACTGCTGAAGGGATAGTCTGGCAGCTGAGTCTCTCGCTGTAACCAAGCCTCTTCATGGATGGAAAACAGGAGTGGAGAAAGAATGGTCCTTCCCTTCCATTTCCGGGTTAAATGATGAGCTGTTTGATTGTGATAAGGGAAATTTCACTGCCAGCTTTGTCTGTTTGGCAGAGGGCTCTTTTAAGCTCCAGTTCCTGGAATACATTTAAGCTTGCTTTTTTTTTTTTTTTCAGGCCTAACAATTTCAGAAAAAGCAATGTAAACATAATTCCAGAAGACAAACTGAGAAACAACACTCCTCACATCTCAAAATCATTCAGCCTAGTTTTTAAGTCCATCATGTAAGTTAGG